GGCCGCCGCCGCTGCCGCTGCCGCTGCCGCCGCCACCGCCTCTGGGCTGAGCTACTGGAAGGGAGCGAGGGGGGAGGGAGAGCTTGCCGACCCTGCACGGACCTGCATCCCACTGTTGCTCCGGCGCCCCCGCCCCGGCGTCGGGCCGGCCGCATGCTGCAGATGGTGAAGACCCTGGCCCAGTTCACCATCGCGCTGGATGAAATGCGCGATCTGGGCCCGGCCGCTGCCTCCGGGGAGCCCGCTGGGAGCAGCGGCGCTGATTCGGAGGAACCTGGGGAGGTCCAGGTACAGGGAGGGGGAGACGCAGCCAGGGACTTGGGCCAAGGCCTAGACCTCAGCCCACCCTGGGTTGGGGAAACATAGGCAAATGCTGGGGCCCAGGGCCTGGAATTCTGATCCAGCGCACCAACCTGCTGGCCACAGAGATGAGTCTCTATGACCCAGGATGAGGGAAGGGAGATTGAGGGAGTTTGAGGAGCCCTGGTAGGGGTAAGGGGGTGGGGTGGCTGGTAGAGTGATGAAGTTTGGCGCCACCAGGTTGCAAGCTCTGGATGGCCTAAGGTCTGGCAAACACAGCAGGAGTGCTGCCCTGCTCCCAGAGAAACGGCCTTGTCAAGGTCTGGTGGCACTCTTGCTCATCTGAGGCACGGAGTCGGGAGAGGTTGCCCCAGGGGGACGGTGTGCCCACAGGCTCAGAAAACGGAGCTTTTCCCAAGTCTTCCTCTCAGGCTTGAGGTAGCCCCCAGGAGGATCTGTGTACTGAGGATAAAGAATTTGGCTCCCAGACCTGCCAGGAGGAGTGCTATTGCAAGACAGTGAAATCCGGGTCCCCACTCAATGTGTGCTCTCTTGTGGGGGGAGGAGACTTCCAGGGCTGCTTCCTAGCCTTGGTGGTCTCTGGGGCTGGCCTCTTGTTTGCTCAGCTTTCCAGGCCTGCACTCCAGGCATGTGCAGCTCCATGCAGTGATTGGGAGCTGGCCTTGTGGCTTGTGGTTTTCTTCTCTCTGTGCTATGGGCTGTCTCTCTCTCCACTGCCTCAAGCTTTTTCCCTCAAGGGTCTGGTTCTCAGTTGAGTGTTTCAGCCTGTAAGGTCGTCTTTTTGTATACATGTGTTTCTGTCTTCAGGCTGTGTGTCTCTTGTTGGCTCAGTCAGACTGGGGGCTGTCTATCTGTTGAATCCCCCTGAGCGCCTCTCTCCCCACCCCTCAGTGCTTTGTGTAGTGAGGGTTTGGGAATGGGGCTGGTGGTGGGTGAGAGGCTCAGGCAGACAGATTTAGGGAAAGCTGGGCCTACGGAGCTCTCCCATCTGGAACAGGTGGGCCCTCTGACCTAGTAGGCAACTGTGTTGCCTGTCTGCTTCCAAGGCTCTGTCCCCCCACTCCAGTATACATTCGCACCTGTTTCTCGGCATGTGCAGCTCCATGCAGTGATTGGGAGCTGGTCTTGTTTTCCATGTCTTCACCTGACAGCTGAGTGACAGCCCACTGTGCTTTTAAGCAAGGGAGGAGGATGGGGAATGGCAGGCATTGCAGCATCAGCCTCCCCACATCACCCCAACCCCTCTGGTCTTCAAGGTAGATGTGTGCAGACAAATAGCGTTGCTGACATAGACCATGAGGACCCACTCTGTTCAGAGAGCTGCTCTGTTCCCCTTCTCCATGCTGCCACCATGCTGGGGGAGAGGTCGTATTAGTTCTGTTTCCCAGGGGAGGATGTGGCAGCCTAGGTGACATCCTCAGCTAACATAGCCAGTAAGGGTGAAACTGAAGACCCTTGACCTGAAGCTACCCTTTCCTGCTCTACAAGACGTCTGGGTACTGGGGCTCCATGACCTGGCAGGAAGCGCTTGAAGAGACTCTGTTGTCCGCTCTGCTGGTTTACTGGCGGTGTGACCTTGATCAAATCATGTCACCTCTGTAAACTTGATTGTCTCATTAGTGAGCGGGGATGATGACACCTATGTTGTGGAGCTGTGAGTGTGAGGCCATGTCTGTGAAGTACTGTGGTATCTTCTGGCGATGGGCTGATGGTGAGGACTAGAGGTTGGACCTTTCCTTGGGAAGCCCTTTTGGCCCTTGATGCTCTTCTAAGTTCTTCATTCTGGGAAGGGTCCAGCTCATGATGCCTCCTACCCGAAGCTGCCATGATTTTGAAAGGTCCCAGAAGCACTGAGGAGAAGTCATCTGGTTGTAACCAGGGGCTCTGAGGCCGAGCCTGTACCTTCTCACCGCTTCAGAAGAGAATAGGTTGGGCAAGCCAGCCTTGTCCCCTCCTTCAAAAGACTGTCATTCATCTCTCACTCCTGGGTTTGTAGCATGTTGTTGTTGTTAAGTGCCGTCGAGTCAATTCCAATTCACAGCGACCCTGTACTGGGTTTCCAAGAAGCAGCTGGTGGGTTTGAACTGCTGACCTTATGTTTCGCAGTCCAGTGCTTAACTACTTTTCTGAGTGTGCCTCATTGGAGGACAGATTTGGAGGATGGACTGATCCCTGAGTCCCTGGGTCAGAAGGAGGAAGACGTGAGGTGGGCATACCACAGGCAGGCCCAACAAGCCTAGTGCTTCAGGAGATCCAGGAGGCCCACTTATCAGATACTGGTCCTGGGCAAAGCAGTAACCAGGAAACCCCCAAGGGGATGGCACAGAAGTGGACACCGTGGCGTTGGCCTGTGTAAGGAGTTCCACTCGGATCTGTGGGTCTTGATGACTGGAGCCTGATGAAGGGTCAGGACAAGAGATGCTCAGGCCAGACTGCGGCTGGGACAGGCAGTGGAGAGGAGTGAGTGAACCACAGAGATTGGGACTTAGAGGGGTTAGGGGTTTTGCCCAAGGCCACTCCAGAGCCTTAAAGATGTCAGTGAGGAGACCTGAGAGTGGAGCCCCTCTCAAGACAATTGGGAGTGGTACCGCCTGGAAGAGCAGGAGTGTACCAGGGCCAGTTGAGTTGCAGGGTGAAGGCAGTAAGTAAGCTCAGTCCCAGGGGATTGAACACAGAGGGCATCCCTAGGCTGACTCCCAGAAAAACTTGCCCACAGGGCAGGGGTCTCCCTGACAGGGATAAGCTTCCTGTTTCCCAGGGTGTGGAACAGAAGCTGGACAACCCGTTGGGAACTCTGTAATTTATGTCATCAGACTCCTCCGACTCCATAGCAGGTCTTGCCCATCCTCCAGCGAGACCCCTCCAAGTGCCCTCCTAGGTTTGCCGTCTTCATGGAAACAGAGGTATCTGTGTGCAGACCCCTGGGCCCCCACCCTGCCCTGGATGTGTCTCCTGCTGATTGTCACCGTGGTGGCTGGGCTCCTGTTCCTCAGGTTGGAGGCAGCAGTACCTGGGTCTCTCTCTGCCCTGACTTTGGTGATGGGTTAAATTACTTTGCTTTTCATGCCTCCTTTTCCCATCCTTAAGGTGGGAAGAATAATTACACCTACCACACAGGATGGTTGGGAGGATCAAATAATGTGTGTATGATGCTTCCATAGAACAGAGCCTGCATATAGTAGGGTTCAGTCAACCTTTTAAAACGAAAAAATTGGGATCCAGCTTTGTCTGAGGGTGGCTGGACCCTTTGGCACCAACTTCACCAGTCTTCATCAGTAATAAAGATGACAGGTTCTATTCCCAGGAGTGACCTGAAGACGAGCCATGTGGGGCATGTCCCCAAAGTACCAAATCTGAAGGTGGGGGCTCCATTCTCTTTTGCAAATGTGAGGGGTTGTTGTTAAGTTGTTAATGTGCCATCAAGTCATAAGGTCTTAAGTGACCCTGTATCGAGTTTCCGACGAGCGACTGCTTTTTCATATGTATATGTACATATATCTTGTCATTAGTGCCATTGAGTCAGTTCCCACCTATACCAACCCAGTATAGGGTTTCCAAGGAGCAACTGATGAGCTTAAACCACCGACCTTGCTGTTCAAACTGACTTTGCAGTCCAGCGCATTAACCCACAGTGCCATACCAGGACTCCATATACATATATACATGTATACACATATATGCTTGTATACACATATATGTTCCATATACGTATATACATGTATACACATATATGCTCCATATACATGTATACACATATATGCTTGTATATGTTATATGTTGCTGTTGTTAAGTGCTATCAAGTGAGTTCTGACCCATGGTGGCCCTGTATAGAGTTTTTTGTTTTTGTTTTTAATGTTTTTACTGTGAATTGAATGCAAGTTTACAGGGCAGATCATCAGTTTTACATTCAACAGATCATACACCTTGTTTCATTACAATGATTATAATCCCCTCCATGTACCATCAGTTCCTGTATAGGGTTTTCAGGGAGTGGCAAAGTGCCGACTTTGCTGTTCAAACCGACCTTGTGGTTGAGTGTTTATTGTGCAGCACCACACCTATATGTTGTTGTTAATATCACTGTCAATTCCAACCCATAGTGACCCCATTTAGGGTTTTTGATGAGCAGCTGGTGAACTTGTACCGCTGACCTTGCAGTCCAGCATATTAACCCACAGCACCACACCAGGACTGTGTATGTTTCCAAGGAGCGGCTGGATTACTGGTATGGTGCTGTGGGTTAAAGCACTGGACTGCAAAGACAATTTGAACACAAGGTCAGTGGTTCAAACTCACCAGTTACTCCTTGAAAACCCTATATAAGGTCACTATGAGTCAGAACTGACTCAACGGCACTTAAACAACAACACACACACACATATATATGAATTCTTTTCAGAAGCCCAGCAAGGGGGTCAAGAACTAAACAGATTTCCAGATCTGCCCTCAGCCATGGTAGAAGTGTGTTTGAGGTATAGGGGAGGGCATTGCCAGCAGGGGGACCAGTGAGCTAAGGTCTGGCCCAGCAGAGGTCTAGGGTGCATTGGATAACAGCTAGGAGCCCTGGGTGTCAGGAGGGTTGGGGTGTATGGAGGGGTCCACTGGACCCCATGTGGCTTCAGGTAGCTTGCTTTCCGGGAACCAAGATGTTGCTCACTCTCTGCCCCCTGTCTCCCCAGGACATGCGGAAGCACGTAACCATGACCCTGCTGGACACAGAACAGTCGTATGTGGAGTCGTTGCGCACCCTGATGCAGGTGAGACTTGTGGCCAATCCAGGTCCCAGAGGACTGCAGAAGGGTGGGAACAAACCCATTTCATGGAGAGGAGGTCAAGGCTAAAGAGGAGAAGGGAGTATGCCTGCCACAGAGGAAGAAGAAGGCCCCTCCAGGACAGAAGAGAGGGGCTTCAATGGGCCAGGCCACGCCACCTCCAGGGCCCCTTATTCCCATAGCCTCTTCTGATAAACCTGGCCCTGAACTTAGATCTGCAGACCCCTGTGACATACCCCCACTCCACTTCATTCATTGGTTTTGGGGAAATGTTTGTTGAATGGAATAAAGGTCGAGCATCTTTATGTTCCTGTTCTAGACAAAGGAAGTGCACAGTCTTGTTGAGGACACAGTTGAGTATATGTAGGTGTCGAAGGAACAGCATGTGTGGTGCTGAGTAAGGAGAGGGCCTGGCACGGTCTGAGGGCCACGTGGTAGCACAGAGCACAAGGGGTTAGTCTCACAGTGAAGCTGGGGGAGCCAGCAGGAGCCACACTCTGGGGGCCTTGAATGTCAGGGGGATGGTTTAGACTTGAGGGTCCTGGGGATCCAGCAAAAGTCTTTGAGCAGGAGACGTGTAGCCTAGTTCATGTTATATTAAGTCTGATGGCCAGGTTAGTGGATGTCAGAGAAGGAGGTTGAGGCAGTTAAAGGCTACCACTGAGGAGAGGCCGGAAGCGTGGTAGAGGCTACAGAGAGCGAGAGTTGGGAATAGATATTAAGGAGCTGGACTGGTCAGCCTGGCATGCTGATGCTTAACTCCCAGCCTGATAATCTGGGCACTGGACATAGGCACGGAGTGGTGCTGGGGCAAGATGATGCGTTCAGACTCAGATGTGTGGGGAGGCCCAGTAACCTGGACATGTGGGCCAGAGACCCAGGATGGAGAGTGTGGGTGTGGGTTATAATTAAACATGAAACTTGCTCAGGCATCTTGAACAAAGTGAGGCAAAGCTTGGAGGGTAGAGCCCTGGGAACCATCAAGTTCAGGAACAGATGGAGGACTCATTCAGTCCTCCACTCACTCACTCTACCAGCCCTCATGGAACACCTTCACAGCTGTCTACTCTTGTCGGGGGTACAGCAGTGGGCATGAATGGCAAAGTTCTGTCTTCTGGAGCTCCCAGTTTCTGGCTGATACCAGCAGTAACCAGGCAGAAGATAAGTGAGGACTCCAAAGTGCACAGAGAACTGAGAACACAGAGAAGGCTGCCCAGGGCAGACTTCTCTGAGATTTACCTGAGACCTACAGGACAAGTAGGAATTTAGGAGGGGAAGAGCCCACGAGGCATCATTCTAGGCTTTAAAGTCTTAAAGGAAATGGAGAGGTGGCCAGGATGGCCCTGGGAGGGAGGAGAGGTGAGTGAGGCAGGAGCAGCCAGTAACAGGCTGTTCAGGGCCCAGGGTCGCTGGCATGGAGCCAGACTTTACTGAAGCATAGCCGGAAGCCATAGGTGGGATATGGACAGAAGTCCATCTTTAATCCCCCCCCACCCCCCAGCAACCCCACCTGCTGCCAGATAGGCATGGTAGGCAATCATGGTGTAGGTATTAAGATCAGACAGCCCAGGATTTGAGTCACTTGCCTACTTGTGTGATACTAGCCCAGTCACCTCTTCTCTTAACTTCGTGTTTTCATCTGCAAATATGTCGCTAATGATAGCCATCTCTCAGCGTGAAGATGAAAAAGTGACGATGTGTCTCATGCCTTATCCAGACAGGAGGCAGAAACAGTGGTAGATGTGGGGTCAAGCAGGGCCTGGCTGCAGCTCCTCACCAAATCGCCCAGGCCTAGCATGAAGGGCTGCTCACGTGGAAGACACAGCACCTGTAGAGAGAAACCGAGGACTGAGAGTGCCAGGGTGGGAGAGGGAGGTGGGCAGGAAGGTGTCAGCTGAATCCAGGGACTGAGGTCAGGCCAGGGCTCAGGAGCACAGCTCTGGAGCCTGACCACTGGTGTTGCACCTCTTGACCAGCTGTGTGACCAGGAGCAAGTTACATAACCAGTCTGTGCCTCAGTTTCCTCACCTGTAGAGTGGGGATAATAATGGTTCCGTCTCTGTGTAACATAACACCCCTGGCCTTTTCAAAACCCCACCCTCACGTGACAGGATTCTGCTGAGCTTTACTTTTCAAGTTTGTTTTGCAAAACTAGCCAGATTTTAAAAAATTTTGATATATGTTTAATTGCACCATTGCATATACCTGAGTCAGAATCAACTCCATGACAACCAGTTTGAGTCTGTTTTTGTTTTTGTTTTTTTGCTTTCTAGAAAGCCTCTTTCTGGCCTGTAGTTACAGTTAAGGCCAGTAGAGGATAACCTTTCCATAACTCATCAGCCATGGAGCAGGGCTGTTCTTGTTTGGGGACCTACATTGGATGCAGATTGGAGGTGAAAGTAAGAATTTTAGACACAGAGTAACCAGAAGCTCCACAAATGTTAAAACAGAGAATGTTACTAAAACCCCCCAAGGACCTCCTCTATGGCTTTCCATTCCTATTTATCCTTTTACGATAATGTATAGTTACGGCATGTACTCATTCTCGGGCACATGGTCTTCTCATTTTAACATCTCTTGCAATAAGTGTTCATTGTAATTGATGGCTTGTGATAATTTAATTGGCAGCATTTTTTTTTTTTTTCTTAAAGATAAATGAAAAAACTGATGATCTCTCTCAGGGCAGGGATATTTGTCTTTCTGCTTACTACTGTCTCCCAGTTCCTGGATCAGTGCGTGGCATATTGTTGTTGTTGTTAGGTGACATCACGTCAGTTCTGACTCACAGTGACTGACCCTATGTACAACAAAACAAAACACTGCCCAGTCCTGCACCGCCCTTTCAAGTATTGCTGTGTCTATCCAGGGCATTGAGTGTCTTTTTTTTGTGTGTGTGCTGACCCCTCTACCAAGCATGATGTCCTCCAGGGGTTGGTCCCTCCAGATAACATGTCCGAAATTACGTGAGATGAAGTATCACCATCCTCATTTCTAAGGAGCATTCTGGCTGGACTTGGAATTTCCAAAGCTGATTTGTTTGTTCTCCTGTCAGTCCAGGGCAGAATTAATATTCTTCACCAGCGTCATAATTCAAAGGCATCCATTCTTCGTCAGTCTTCCTTATTCATTGTTCAGCCTGTACACACACAAAATTGAGGCAATTGAAAATACCATTACTTGAGTCAGGTGCACCTTAGTCCTCAAAGTGACATCTTTGTGTCTAGTCCATCTTATTGGATTATTTGCTCAGCATACAGATTAAATAAATATGATGAAATAAATACAGTTCTGACGCACACCGCCACACAGTATCCCCTTGTTCTGTTCCAACAACTGCCTTTTGGTCTTTGTTCAGGTTCCACATAAGCACAATTAAGTGTTCTGGAATTCTCATTCTTTTAAGTGTTATGTTATGATCCATAGTTTGTTATGATTCAGGCAGTTAAATGCTTTACATAGTCAATAAAAAACAGGTAAACATCTTTCTGGTATTCTTAGCTTTCAGCCAAAATCCACGTGACATCAGCAATGATATCCTTTGTTCCACATCCTCTTCTGAATCTGGCATTCTGTTGGATCACATTCCTTTGTAACGGGCACAAACATGAGGACATTTCAAAAATTTTGTGGAAGCATCCCATTATCTTTTAATACCATTTTCCACCAACTTTTTGAAGCCCACTTATATGTATCTCTTCAGTCAGTAGTCTTCCAAATTTCTTGGCGTAGATGAGTGACCACTTCTGCACTGCATTTGTTTGTTGAAACATCTCAATTGGTGTCATGTCAGTTCCTGGTGTTTGTTTTTCAGCTAAAGTTTTCAGTACGTCTTGGACTTCTTCTTTCACTACCATCAGTTCTTGATCATATACTGCGTCCTGAAATGATTGAATGCTGACCAAGTCTTTTTGATATAGTGACTCTGTATATTCTTTCCATCTTCCCTTGATGATGGCTCTGTCTTTCAATATTTTATCCATGTTGTTATGTGCCGTTGAGTCAGCTCTGACTCATAGCAACCCTATGCACAACAAAACAAAGCATTGTCTGCTCTTGTGCAATCCTCAAAAGTATAGTCATGTCCAAGCTCATTGTTGCAGCCTCTGTGTTGATCTGTCTTGTTGGGGATCGTCCTCTTTTTCACTGACCTTCAACTTTGCCAAGCATGATGTCCTTCTTCAGGGACTGGTCCCTCCTGATAATATATCCAAAGTATGTGAGATAAAGCTTCACTATTAAGGAGTATTATGGTTTTATGTCTGCAAGACAGGTTTGTCTGTTTTTCTGGCCAGTCAAGTATCAGTATTTTTTACCAACACCACAACTCAAAAGCATTTATTCTACGGTCTTTCTTATTCACTGTCCAGCTTTCACATGCATGAGGCGATTAAAAACACCATGACTTGAGTCAGGCACACCTTTGTCCTCAAAGTTATATTATTGCTTTTTTTTTAAAAGAGATCTTTTGCAACAGATAAATCCACTGTGATACATCATTTGGTTTCTTGTCTGATGCTTCCATGATCATTGCTTGTGGGTCTAATTATAATGAAATCTTTGATTGCTTCAGTCTTTTCTCCATGTATCATGATGTTTACTGGTCTAGTTGTGAGAATTTTTGTTTCTTTTTATTGAGGTGTAATCCAATAAACAACATTCTTATCAATGGAGAAAAGATTGAAGTTGTCAAGGACTTTTCATTCTTCTTGGATCAACTATCAACACTCATGGAAGCAACAGTCAAGAAATCAAATGACACACTGCATTAGGTAAATCTGCTGCACAAGACCTTTCTAAAGTGTTGAAGAGCAGAGATGTCAGCTTGAGGATTAAGGTGCGCCTGACCCAAGCCATGGTATTTTTAATAACCTCCATATGCATGCGAAAGCTGAACAGTGAATAAGGAAGACCATAGAATTGATGCTTTTGAGTATGGTGTTGGAGGAGAATACTGAAAGTGCCATGGACTGCCAAAAGAACCAATAGATCCATTTTGGAAGAACTGCAGCCAGAGTGCTCCTTGGAGGCCAAGATGGCCAAACTTCATCTCTCATACTTCGGACATATTGTCAGGAGGGACCAGTGGCTGGAGAAGGATATCATGTTTGGTAAGGTGGAGGGTCAGAGAAAAAGAGGAAGACCACCACCAAGATGGATTGGCCAAGTGGCAGCATCAGTGGACTCTCAAGCATGGCAAAAATAGTGAGGTTGGCCCAGGATTGGACAGTGTTTCGTTCTGCTGTGCATAGGGTCGCTATGAGTCGGTGCCGACTCAGTGGCACTTAACAACAGTAGCAATCCATACTGAAGATTCTAGTTTTCTATCTTTATCAATAAGTGCTTCAGGTCCATTCCAGCAAGCAAGGTTGTGTCATCTGAATATGTTGTTGTGGTTGTTAAGTGCCATCGAGTCAGTTCTGACCCATAGCAATCCTGTATAGGGTTTCCAAGGAGCGCCTGGTGAGCTTGAACTGCCGGCATTGCAGTTCAAACACATTAAACCCACATTGCCACACCAGGACTCCATGTAGCAGATTGTTAACGATCCTCCCTCCAATCCTGATGCTGCAATATTCTTCATGTAGTCCAGCTTTTCAGATTATTTTCTTAGCTAGCTAATTGAGTAAGTACGGTGAAAGGATACGACCCTGCTGCACATCTTTCCGAACTTTAAATCATGCAGGATCTCCTTGTTCTGTTTGGCTGCTTCTGGATCTATGTTCAGGTTACGCATGAGCACAATGGAATGTTCTGGACTTCCCATTCTTCACAGTATTATCCATAGGTATTATCCATGCAGTTGAATGCTTTTCAATAGTCAATAGAACACAAGTAAACGTCTTTCTGATATTCTCAGCTCTCAGCCAAGATCCATCTGACGTTAACAGTGTTATACTAGGTTCAGTACCCTCTTGTGAATCCAGCTTGAACTTCTGGTGGTTGCTTGTCTGTGTACTGCTACAGCCATTTTTGAATTGTCTTCAGCAAAATTTTGCATATGTGATGGTAATTATATTGTTAGATAATTTCTGCATCCTGTGGTCACCTTTCTTTGAAATGGGCTCAAATAAGGATCTCCTCCTGTTGGTTGGCCAGGTAGCAATTTCTTGGCATAGATTAGTGAGTTCTTCCAGTGTTGCATCAGTTTGTTGAAACATTTCAATTGGTAGTCTGTCAGTTCCTAATATGTTAATGTCTCCAGTGCAACTTGGACTTCTTTTGTCAATATCGTTGGTTCTTGATCATATGTTACCTCTTAAGAGAGTTGAACACTGACTAGTAGTTTTTGGTACAGTGACTTTGTGTATCCCTTCCATCTTCTTTTGACTCTTCCTGCTCTGTTCAATATTTTTGCCCACAGAATCCTTCAGTATTATAACTTGAGGCTTGAGTATTTTTTTTCCCAGTTCTTTCAGCTTGAGAAATGCTAAGTGTGTTCTTCCCTTCTGGTTTTCTACTGCATGTCTCATTATAACATTTACTTTGTCTTGTTAAGCTGCCCTTTGAAATTTTCTTGTCAGCTCTTTTACTTCATCATTTTTTCCCAATTCAGGTGAGATGTACTCAAGGTTATATTTTGGCTCTCATAGACTTGTTTTCATTTTCTTTAGCTTCAGCCTGAACTTGCCTATGAGTAATTGGTGGGTGGTCTTTTCCACAGTTGGCCCCTGCCTTTCTTTTGGCTGATGACACTGGGCTTCTCCATTGTCTCTTCCCACAGATATAGTCAGTGTGATTCCTGTGTATTCCATCTGGTGAGGTCCGTGTGTATAGTCACTGTTTATGTTGTTGAAAAAGATGAATTTGCAATGAATAAGTCGTAAGTCTCGCAAAATTCCATTATTTCTATCACCAATGCCGTATTTTCCAGTTAACAGTCCCTCCTCTTTATTTCCAACTTTCCCATTCCAATCATCAATAATTTTCAGGGCATTTTGATTGCATGTTTGTCAATTTCAGACTACAGAAGTTGGTAGAATTCTTCAGTTTCATCATTGGCTTTGATGGTTGATGCATAAATTTGAATAATAGATGTATGAACTGTTCTTTGTTGTTGTTAAGTGCAGTCTCCAACACATAGCAATCCTGTAAAGGGTTTTCAAGGATCGTCTGGTGGGTTTGAGCCGGGTTTATGGTTAGCAGTCCATTGCTTACCCTACAGCACCATACCAGGACTCCAATCTTCCTTGTAGGAATGTAGATATTATCCTATCATTTACAGCATCGTATTTCAAGACAGGTTTAAAATATTCTTTTTGTAGATGAATGTGACACCATTCTGTTTGAATGTATCATTTCCAGCATAGTAAACCATATGCTTGTCTGATTCAAAATGGCCAATACCTGTCCATTTCAGCTCACTAATGCCTTGGATATTTTCCATATGCGTTCCATTTCATTTTTGACAACTGTCAATTTTCCTGGATTCATACACTCCACATTCCAATTATTAATGGATGTCTGCAGCTGTTTCTTTTCATTTTCAGTCATGCCCCATCAGCAAATGAAGGTCTCCAAAACTGTTCCATCCGTCTCATTAAGTTGACTCTGTTTTGAGGAGGCAGCTCTTAATCATAATTGAGTGTCTTCCAACCTGAGGGGTCCCTCTTCAATGACTGGATCATTGGTTTCCAGTGGCTAATCCCTCAGAAGGGGGCTGCTTAGTCCTTGGTCCGAATCTGTTTTTAGTCTGGAAGCTCTGCTGAAACCTGCCCATCATGGACAATCCTACTGCTACTGGAAATAACAGTGGTACAGCTTCTAACATCACAGCAACACGGAAGCCACCCCAGTATTACAAGCCAGCAGATGTGTGGGGATCTTGCCCATAGACTCTTTCAATATTACAACTCGAGGCTTGAATTTTTTTCAATCCTTTCATCTTGAGAAATGCTAAGTATGTGCTTCCCTTTTAGTTTTCTAACTGCAGATCTTTGTACATTTCATTATAATACTTTACTGTGTTCTTGAGCTGCCTTTGAAATCTTCTGTTCAGCTTTTACTTCATCATTTCTTCCATTTGCTTAGCTACTCTACATTCAAGAGCAAGTTTCAGCATGTCTTCTGACATCCATTTTGACCTTTTCTAATTAATAGAATTTATTAAGTGTTAAATAAACCTTTGCTGATTGAATTAGTGAGTGTGGGTCTCCCAGCAGTCATCATCGTCTTACTTTCATACTCTTAAGTAATCTCTGTTCACATTCATTCAGGAAACCTTTCCTGAACCCCACCCATCTTGTGCCAGACCCTGGGCTGGGCAGTGAGAGGCATGGGGACAGGCCTTTCCACCCCCTCCAGAGCTCCTAGTCTAATGAAGGATTTTGTGTGCATTCACACAGGACTTGCAGGCCAAGGTTTCACACAGGTGGGCTGGGGGGCGAGGGGGTGCATCGCTCTGTGGGAGCACCTCCACTTACCCTGTGGGCTCCCCAGGGATACATGCAGCCGCTGAAGCAGCCAGAGAACTCCGTTCTGTGTGACCCATCACTGGTGGATGAGATCTTTGACCAGATCCCCGAGCTCCTGCAACACCATGAGCAGTTTCTGGAGCAGGTGCGGCACTGTGTGCAGACCTGGCACGCTCAGCAGAAGGTGGGAGATCTGCTTGTCCAGTCGGTGAGTGACTTGCTGCCCACTGCTACCAGTACCCACAGACTCGGGCCCCTCCAGGAAGGGGCTGGTTGCTGCCCCCAGATCCCACCCCAAAACTTGACCAGACATTGACACTCATTGGCACTGACCCCAGCCTCTAGATTGGCCAGTATTTGGATGCTGTCCCTACTCCAGACCTTGGCTGGTCTTTGGTGTAGATCCCAATGGGACACTGATCCTGACCCCAGATCAGCCTCAGTTTCCTGACCCTTGGCATTAACACTGGCCCAGATCTCTGCAGGATGTGGCTACTGACCCGAACCCCGCTCTTGGCCCAAACAAATCATTACAACAGTAAAGTAAAAAAAAAAAAAAATCCTTCGCACCACTTTATAGCAGAAAACCAAACCCTGTAAAGGCTCTGTATCTGTGGGTGTCTTTTCATGTGTTTGTTACGATGTAGGGTGATACCTTGAGCCTAAGAAGGCCTAGGGGAGAATGGACCCCAGCCTGGACTGAGTGCAGACACCTCTATCCCATCACTGCCCTCGTGTCCTAGGCCCAGCCCATGCACCTCAGGAGGGGATCACCATAAGCTACCCTGTTCTAGGATCAGTGGGGGTCTGTCTTCTCTCCTGAGCTGCTTTAGCCCCACCCTGCCCCTGTCCAGAGGTGGGGAGGACAAGGGTTCTGAGTCCTAAAGGAGGCCAGGAACACACCGAACGTTACTGGGTCCATCGGTTAGGTGTCCTAACTTCCAGGCAAGGCTTCCGACGGAGAACCTCCATATTTATCTAGGTTGTCAGCTGGCTAGCAGATATTAGCTGCCAGCTGTGTGCCTTGCCCTGAGCAGAGCTCTCCTGTGGGCATATGGGAGCATTTGACCTGAGAGACGGAAGATTGGAGGCCAGGTGTGATACCAAGCAGAATCCTCATCAGGGCAGGGAGTGCTTTCTGGAGAGGGCAGAACTTAGAGTTGCTCAACCCCGAGAGCTGGGCCAGATTGGATGGGAGAAGGACATTCCTACTGAAGGGAATTATATGAGCAAAGGCCCAGGAACTCAAATGAGTCTTTATCCAAACTCAGAGGACAGTAGGCAGGAAGACCTACCTGGCTGGATTTGGTGGAGGTGGAAACCACGGCATGGAAATGCCCAGTTGGAAGTGAGAGAACCAGGTCACAGGGTGAGGGCAAGGCACAATGGCCGGCAGGGTTCCAACCCACACATGCACAGACTGATGTATTCAGACGTGTCTGCGATCATCGGATGGCTGCAGACAAGCTCTCTCAGTAATATGCTTGTTGTAATTATGGTAGGAAGCCTTCAAAAAACAGGTCTAATCCAAACAGTGGCTTCTCAGGGGATCTTCTGGGTCTGCTAAATCCAAGGCAGGAAAGGTCAGCTAAGAAAGTTAGGGTGTCTAGTGGGTTCCAAATGGGTAATCTAGGTAGATATTTTCAAAGGGCACCAGACAATCACAGGGGCTTATTAGGAAGACATTTCAAGAAAAATTTAAAACTACATTGCTGAGAAAAAGCTCAGGAAAATTAAGCCAAAGAATTGTTTCCTATCACAACAATGCACCTGCTTGTTCTCTGAGAGTAGCAAGAGACACCTACTCCATCCACCCTACAGCCCTGATCTTTCCTGTTCAGACTTCTTCATTTCCGAAAAGTAAAAGAACATTGAAAAGGAACATAGTTTGAGTCCCCTGGGGATGCCAAAACTGCTGATTTGATGTGGTGTAAGACAAAGAGGACAGAATTATTTAGGGAATGAGTTAGAAAGATGGCCACACCACCTTCAGAAATACATAGACCTAGATGGAAGATATATCGTAGAAGAAAAGCTTCACACTTGAACATCCTTGTCAAATAAAGGTTACTATGACTTTGTAGCAATATACTTTTTTACTTTCCCTCGTATATGTATTATAGGCACAGATACACACACCCTGTCAGACACTTAGAGATGCAGACACAGGCATAGTCTTTATAACTGGGGTGGGGGTGAGTGGGTGGGACACTGCCAGCTCAAGAATCACTGAAGACCAGGACCCAGGTCAGAGTGAGGGGCACGAGGATCACTTTGAGGGGCCCTAAAGTACCTCCTCCGCCCCACCCCCACCCCCAGTTCTCTAAGGATGTCCTGGTAGACATCTACTCCGCCTATATTGATAACTTCCTGAATGCAAAGGATGCTGTGCGTGTGGCTAAGGAAGCGAGACCTGCTTTTCTCAAGTTCTTGGAGGTACGGCGTAGGAGGGCAGGGGGATGGGGTGGCCCCGGGAACTCCCAACCTGGTCACTACAGGCCTAGCCAGTGGGCCAGCCTCTGCCCTCTAGCTAAGCTGAAGGGGACTGCATATCACCCCTCACACGAGTGCCGGTCGGTCCTTCGGGTTTCAGCAAAGCATGCGGGAGAACAAGGAGAAGCAGGCCCTGTCTGACCTCATGATCAAGCCTGTACAACGGATTCCACGCTATGAACTTCTGGTGAAGGTGGGTGTGGGGCTGGGTGGGTAAGGCCTGGAGCTCCTGAGGTCCTGCTTGGTTGAGTTTGGCACCAGGCACCCCACAGGTCAGGTAGGGAAGGAAGTCCTCTGTGGTGTCTGCCCATGGTCCCTCCTGCTGCAATATCAGTCTGGGACCCCAGTACCAAGAGCAGCTGCTCAGCAGGTGGCTCTGGTCCCCATTCCCACCCCAGGACCTCCTGAAGCACACACCTGAGGACCACCCGGATCACCCATTCCTGCTGGACGCTCAGCGGAACATCAAGCAGGTGGCTGAACGCATCAACAAGGGTGTGCGCAGTGCCGAGGAGGCAGAACGGCACGCCCGTGTGCTACAGGAAATTGAGTCTCACATCGAGGGCATGGAGGATGTGCGTGCCACCTTTCCCTGCCCCTCTGTCCACTCTGCTTCTGTGTCCACATTTGTGTTCACCTGCATCTGCAGCCTTGTCCCTGTCCACATCTCTGTCACCTGTGGTTGCGTCCACATCTGCGTCTCTGGTCCCCTGTGACTCTGCCCATGGTCGTGTCCACATCAACATCTACAGGGTGTTTGTCCCCATGTCAGTCTCTACCCTCTGTGTCTGTCCACATCCATGTGTGTCCCAAGCCTGCTTCTGACCATGTGTCCCACAGCCTGGTGGTGCAGTATTCTGCAGGTGTACACGATGCTGCTTCCACTGGCCTAGGTCCATGGGGTCTGGGAAAGGGATTTGTAACTAGCCTTCAAGACAACTTGTCGTTCCTGTCCCACAGCTCCAGGTCCCTCTGCGGCGGTTCCTGAGGCAGGAGATGGTCATCGAAGTGGTAAGAGCTGTCCCATGGTCTACCCACCTGTCCTTACCTTCTTGCTTTGTTCACTCTTCTGCTCATACCTGCTGCCCCAGGTCTGTCTGCCACTTCCTCCCTTGCAGGAGTCTTGGGTTGAGTCCCAACTCCGATTCCAACTCTCTGGGCCTCACTGCCTCTTGGGCACGGTGGGTAGGTTTCTGGGTGGTGTCCATCTAGCCTGAACCCTGCTCTGGACCCCACAGAAGGCAGTTGGTGGCAAGAAGGACCGGTCCCTCTTCCTGTTCACGGACCTCCTTGTCTGCACCACCCTGAAGAGAAAGTCGGGCTCGCTGAGGCGTAGCTCCATGAGCCTGTGAGTGGCTGGGACAGGGGCAGGCTTGCAGCTTTGGGGAGCAGGTTCCTTCCCCAGACCTACTCCCCCACCCTGGCTGGCCAGAGCACCCCATTGGCTCTCCACAGGTACACCGCGGCCAGCGTTATCGACACGGCCAGCAAGTACAAGCTGCTGTGGAAACTGCCCTTGGAAGATGCCGACATCATCAAAGGTGGGCTGGCTCAGGCCTGCAGGTCTCTTCCTCTGAGAAGCTCTGCCTGAGGGTTTGAGCTCCCGCCAGGCCAACTACCATCTGCCTATTTTTATGCTGTGTGGCCTCCCTTTCCCTTTCCCTCCTACAAGGGAGCTAGCTGGTATGCAGGACCTGGGTGGCACCCGTGGAGACAGACTACCTAGTGACCAGGCAGGGGCTGAGGCTGGCAGGAGGCGGGGAACAGGGGGAGCAGTAGTGGTCATTAGTCATCGATTCATCTGCAGGAACTCATGTCTCCCTGTTTCTCTCACTGCTGTGGAGTAGACTCCAACTCAGAATGACCCTGCAGGGCAGCATAGAGCTGCTTACATCTGAGGCTTAAATCGTTAACAGAAATAGACCCTCATCTTTCTCCCATGGAGCAGCTGGGGGGTTTGATCACCCACCTGTGGTCAGCAGCCCAATGCTTATCCTGCTAAGTACCAGGGCTTTTTAGGAACCCATGTAAGCATTGAGTATTAGATGGTGTTTATGCTGCTCAGGGAGGAGAGGCTTACTCAGGTCAGTGCAGGAAAAGGGATCTACTAGAAAGACCCAGGTTGTTTGGGGCTGAGCCTGTCAGGAGCTAAGGCAGCTCCAGGAAGCCTCTCATGTCACATCTATCTGTCTGTCTCTCCATGTGTCTGTCCCATTCCCTCCTCAGCTGCCTTGTAACTCCAGCCCCTCACTCCCCACAGGGTCTTTTCCAGAGCCTCTGTCCCTTGTCCCAGGGTCTTTTCCAAAAGGATTTATCCATTTTACTTTCCATTTCTCCACTAGTGTAGTCATGATGCCATTTAGGTCTTTCTTACCATTCTGTAACCTGTGGCCTGTTTGGAAAATTTATATAGACCAGCAACACACCCTACAAACACAAAAAAGAAAATATCATTTAGGGAAAAAAACAAAAAGAAGCCTTCTTCCCCTTGATTTTAAGACCTCTGTGTTCTGGCCCAGGGAGTGCAGGAAGGTCACAGCCCCATCACGGGCCACTGATTCAAGGTGTGCACACCCAGCCAGGCAGTGGGGAATGCTAGGCTGACCTATGGGACCAGCTACTTGGAATCATCAAATGTGGGATAGGACAGAGGTATCCAGGGCAGTAGCTCCTTGCTCTCTTCCTGGTGAGTCCCTCAGTCAGCTTATGTGGCAGCTTGAGGCTCTCTCTTCTCTTCTCCCGCAACATCCCCATGGGAACCTGGACCACTGCACACACCCCGGTAGGAGACCACAGCACTACGGAAGTTCAGCATCAGCTGGCGCTACATAACCCGCTGAACTCTCTCATCTGCCTTTTGATTCTTTGCCTGGGCCCAGCATATCATGTGCTCTGAATCAGGCACAGTGCCCTGCTCTAAGGCCTGGGTTTCTCTAGGAATTGCCTGTTAATTTTGTTTGGGGGACTTGGGGTTTATAAGATCTCAATTTGTCTGGCCACAACCTGGCTTCACGTTGTACAGTGATATGAAGACTATCTCCAGACCTGTAGCCCGTAATCTCATGCAGCTCATATCCTGTCACAACCCCAAGGCCATGCCCATGCCTAGCATGTAGCTGATCTCAAGGAATCACAGGCGTTATGAAGTTTTGCCTCTGTGTTCCCTGATCCGCTCCACATTTCCCTCTGAGCATCTCTTGCTTGCAACCCCACTCCTGGCTATAACTTGTGCTTGCTAGATTCCTTCGGTTGTAAGAGACAGAGATGCACTCAGTACCTTAAAAAAAGGAAGTTTATTATGAGAATATATGGACTACAACTGGAAAAGCACCAGGAACTGCTCTGGACCAGATATTCCCCATCTTTCCTTCATTCTTTTTGTAGAACATTCTTTTTCTCTTATGTACCATTTTCTGTCTCTAATCATCCATGGTTTCTATTCCTCCATATTCTGGGTGCCCTATCACTTCTGCCTAGCTTCTCCAGCATTCTTGCTACAGCACACCTTTCCAACGTAGCTTCTACTTGTTAAGTGTCATTGAATCAGTTTCAACTCATAGTGAAGCCTGTGTTAGGTTTCCAAGGAGTGGCTGGCGAATTTGAACTGCCGACCTTGCAATCTAGTGCATTGTCCCACAGCGCCACACCAAGACGCCTACTGTTGTTGTTGTTGTTGTTGTTGTCAGGTGCCATCGAGTCGGAACCAACTCATAGCGACCCCATGCACAGCAAAACAAAACAATGTCCGATCCTGGGCCAACCTCACTACCGCTGCCACACTTGACGCCATCAATGATGCCACCTGGCTAATCCATCTCATTGGGGGTCTTCCTCTTTTTCTCTGACCCTCCACCTTACCCAGCATGACATCCTTCTCCAGCAACTGTTCCCTCCTGACAATATGTCCAAAGTATGAGAGACGAAGCTTAGCCATCCTGGCCTCCAAGGAGCACTCTGGCTGCACTTCTTCCAAAACAGATCTATTGGTTCTTTTGGCAGCCCATGGCACTTTCAGTATTCTCCTACAACACCACAACTCAAAGGCATCAGTTCTTCTATGCTTCCTTATTCACTGTCCAGCTTTCGCATCCATATGAGGTTACTGAAAAGACCATGGCCTGGGTCAGGTGCACCTTAGTCCTCAAGCTGACATCTCTGCTCTTCAATACTTTAAATAGTTCCTGTGCAGCAGATTTGCCCAATGCAATACGTCGTCTGATCTCTTGACTGCTGCTTCCACAAGAACACCTACTAGGGACCTTCAAAAAGTTTGGGGCGGTGGGGGAAGTTTGTGGAAAATTTCCATTATCTTTTCATTCCATTTTTCCACAGACTTTTTGAAGCCCCTTCATTTAACTGATGAGTTCAAATTTACGAGACATTATAATTGGCCTACCCTATCTCTTGAGTTCATTTTACTGGTTATATACCTCAGAGCAGCCTCGTAATCAACCCCTAAGTCCGGGGTTAGTTTGGGAGGGTGCTGCATTGGGAGATTAGTTTCCCTTAGTGTAAGGATGGAGCAGTAGCAAACACGCTCAGGCTTGTTCTGTCCTGTGTCACTCGCTGTCTGTCTTTATAATCACCCTAGGAGGTAGGAGACATTTTACCCAAGTTATAGATGATAATACTGAGGCTGGAATGTGAAGTGCCTTGCCCACGTGTAGTAAGGGGCAGCACCAGGATCTGAACCCAGTTCAGTGAAGTCCAGAGTCTTCCTATGGATCCAGCTGCTGTAGCAAAGTTTCCACCTGGGAGCAGAGTGTGTGGGTCATAGTGGGGAGAGGGGCTAGCCCACTGAATTCTCTGCCCCAGCCTTTCTCACTGACCCTGTGCTTTCCTACCCCACCAGGGGCATCCCAAGCTACCAACCGGGAGAACATCCAGAAGGCCATCAGCCGCCTGGACGAGGACCTGACTACGGTGGGCCAAATGAGCAAGCTCTCTGAGAGCATCGGGTTCCCCCACCAGGTCTGTGCTCTCTGCTGAGGCGGGGTTGGTTCCCTGAGCCTGTCTGAAGGTGGAGAGAGGGCCCACCCTGCCTGTGGGGAAGGAATCCAGGCTACCTCTGGATCTAAGGGGGAAGACGGATCCCATTTGTTGTCTGAGGGGAGAGGCATGTCCCGACACACATGCCCAAGGACAGGAGCAGTTTGTAGTAACACTGAGGCCTGGGCCCTCTTGCCCACAGAGCCTGGACGACACGCTGCGGGACCTCTCGGCTGCCATGCACCGGGACCTGTCGGAGAAGCAGGCTCTATGCTATGCTCTCTCCTTCCCACCTACCAAGCTGGAGCTGTGCACCACACGACCTGAGGGCACAGACTCCTTCATCTTTGAGTTTCCCCAGCCCGATGCCCGCCTTGGCTTCGAGCAGGCCTTCGATGAGGCCAAGAGAAAGCTGGGTAAGCTGGGACCCTTACTGGCTCTCTCCTCCCAGAACCTTCCTTCTCTCCCAACTCCCAGACACACACACACATTCTCTCTCTCTCTCTCTCTCTTTCTCTGAATTGGCCTGGATCAGAGAAAGCTGCTGATCATGTTCCATGGCCTAGAAGATTCTTAGAGACGTCTGGGTTCATCTCCTTCATTGTACAGATAGGAACCGACAGCCGCCTCATTCTACGTGGCTAAGATCACACCCCTCCCTAGAGAGACCCTGAGGGACAGGAGAGGAGGAGAAGTGGGTAGGAACAGGACCAGGGTGAGGTCAATACTGAGCAGGGTCTGTCTCTCCCTGCCCTGTCTCTTGTCTGTGGGTCTGTCCCTCTCCACCACAGCATCCAGTAAAAGCTGCCTAGACCCCGAGTTCCTGAAGGCCATCCCCATCATGAAAACCCGCAGCGGCATGCAGGTGTGTCGGCACACGGTTATGTGGGTGCACATATTCAAAGCTGGCATGTGCTCATGTGTTTTTGTCTTATGTACAACGTGGTGTGCATATCTTGAACATTGAAATGGCTCCATATGTTTTTGGCAATAAAGATATCTGCACACATATGTGGACACTACATAGGCATCATGTATGTTTGTTTCATGTATGTCTATATCTGCATTTGAGCAAAGGCTATACATATGATGTGAAAGTGCCCACTTGATGCTTATATGCATCTGCATACAGAATATATGCACAGAGGTGACTGGATTTGCATTTGTTATATGCATGCACACATGTTCATAATCAGTGGATACAGAGGGGCTTCAAAGAGTTCAAGGGGCCCTGGTGGCACTGTGGGATAAGCGTTGGGTTGCTAACTGCCAGGTCGGCAGTTCTAACCTAGCAGCTGCTCCAAGAGAGAGATTGTTTATGCCTGTAAAGGTTACAGTCTCGGAAACCCTATGTAGGGTCTCTATGAGTCAAGACTCACTGGCAATGGGTTTGTGGGGTTTTGGGGTCAAAAATTCATGAAAGTATTCCGTTATTTTTCCAATCTTCTTTGAAGCCCCTATGTATGTATGTGTACATGTGTGTACTGGGTGATGGCAGTATCACCCAGGTCTGCAAGTATCTGATGTGTGAGGAGAGTCATGTGTGCTATGTGGATGTATACTCATGGGTATGTAGAGAGAGTGTTGGGAATCGATAGCCTTGCAGGCCTCCCTCGCTCTGTTCTGCCGGGGTGGGGTAGAGCAGTGGAGAGTTGGCAGCAATTCCTCTAGTCACCTCCTCCTGTCTCCTGGTGCTTCCCCTAGTTCTCCTGTGCGGCCCCCACCCTGAGCAGCTGTCCGGAGCCCGCACCCGAGGTGTGGGTGTGCAACAGCGACGGCTACGTGGGTCAGGTGTGCCTGCTGAGCCTGCGGGCTGAGCCCGACGTAGAAGCCTGCATTGCCGTCTGCTCGGCCCGCATCCTCTGCATTGAGGCGGTGCCCGGCCTGCAGCATCGCTGCAACCGGTAAGTCCTGGGTGGGAAGCAGGGGTTCTTAGGAGTGGGTGCCCATTGCCAGCCTGGGAGACAGCTCTGCCCTCAACACACACCTTGAAATGGTGGGCAGGCCAGGTGGGTATGTGGGCAGAGCTATCACCCCCACCCACCATGTGGTCTCTGGAATTGTAGGGATCAACCTCCCTCACTGAGAAGCCCTCCTGAGGCTGCACTGGAGCCCTCTAGGCCGGAGCTGGATACTGAGGCCGCCACGGATGAGGAAGCTGCTGCCCTGGGGGAGTCTGGACCCGAGCCCTGTCTTCATATCTCCATCGCGAGTTCAGGCCTGGAGATGGCACCAGCGCCCGCTGAGGGGGACTCCCGCCCTGAGTTGGTGCCTTTTGACAGCGACTCAGATGACGAGTCTTCACCCAGCCCCTCGGGGACCCTACAGAGCCAGGCCAGCCGCTCCACCATCTCCTCCAGCTTTGGCAGTGAGTTCCTAACTGGGGCCTGTCAGGCAGGATAGACCGCCCAGAGGAGGGAGCAGTGGGGTGGTCGTGGTGGGTGGGAGGGATCTGTGTGGGAAAAGGCATGAGATTGAGTCTCAGGATGTTAGTGTCCAAAGTGACTAGGGCCAGCAGGGTGGCTGGGGACTGCGACACCAAGGACCCAGAGGACAGTCAGGCCTGACCCAAGACACTGGAATGCTGAGTTAAGGAAGATGGAGAGTTGGCTGGAGGGTTGGTCTCTCCGTTTACGGTGTATCAGGCAGATCCTGGGGCCATGTGTGAGCCAGGTCTCGAGGCCGGAACTGCTACAGAGGCCTCAGACATGTGGCAGAATGACTGTGGGAAGGTGTGACCAGGAGGGGTATACCAAGAGGAAACTGAGGTCTAGAAAGAGATCAGACTGTGGCCTGGTCAGCGGGAGGAGGGGACTAGAGAGAGAGACCCGCATTCCTTTAGATGAAGAGACCCCCAGCTCCAAGGAGGCCATGGCAGAGACCACCAGCTCAGAGGAGGAGCAGGAGCCTGGATTCCTGCCATTGTCGGGCTCCTTCGGGCCTGGGGGTCCCTGCGGTACAAGCCCCATGGATGGACGAGCCCTTCGTCGCTCCAGCCGCGGTTCCTTCACCCGGGGCAGCCTCGAGGACCTGCTGAGCGTCGACCCTGAGGCCTACCAGAGCTCCGTGTGGCTGGGCACTGAGGATGGCTGGTACGGGCATGGGAGGGACTGGGGGCACAGTGTCAGAAATTGTCACTTTCCCTGCTTAGGAAATCTTAACAGTATCCTGAAGCAGAAGCGGGCGGGCTCTGGGTTAGACCTCAGGGGTACTACCAGTCACGGATGTGAGTGGCTCAAAAGCCATAGCAAGGGCTCCAGGGGAGGCTGTGGGATCTCTAGGATGGGGGAGATTGTGGTGGAGGCAGAGAGGCAGGAGGGATGAGTCACAGGTGCACACCCCTGATCCACAGTGTCCACGTGTACCAGTCCTCGGATAGCATCCGTGATCGCAGGAACAGCATGAAGCTCCAGCATGCAGCCGCTGTGACATGTATCCTGTAAGGCACCAGGATGACCCTTCACATCCAGACCTTTCCCAGCCCCACATGCAGGCCTCCTGTCCACCTGCGTCTCCCTGCTCTGCTGGTCCCTCCTTTCTGTGGAGGATGGAGACCAGAGGCCAAGGTCTAGGCTAGTTTACCCACTGCCCTTCTCAGGGTCAGGTTCCCCAAACTTGGAGAATAAGGAGGAGGGAGGAGTTGACCTTGGGAGCCATAGCCATTCTATCTGTGAGACCCCTGGTCCCAGATGACCTGCTTTAACCTCCTAAAATCTGACTCTTCCCTCTTTTCCTGGCTCAGGTATCTGAATAACCAGGTGTTTGTATCTCTGGCCAATGGAGAACTTGTAGTCTACCAGAGGGAAGCAGGTGAGTATCCATTTGCTGGTGTTGGAGTCGTCTCCTGGACGTGGCTGGGACCTCAGTATCTTCATTTATAAATGGGGATGTTAACACTTAATTTCAGGGAAGGGAGAGACTTAAATGAGATGCTGAACTAAATTTGCTCTGTGTTCTTTACCCCATTCCTATCACAGGTCGTTTCTGGGACCCCCAGAACTTCAAATCAGTGACTCTGGGAGCTCAGGGGAGCCCCATCACCAAGATGGTGTCTGTGGGTGGGCGGCTGTGGTGTGGCTGTCAGAACCGAATCCTTGTGCTGAGCCCCGACACACTGCAGCTGGAGGTAGTGGGGGTCAGAGTGACAGAATCAGTGGCTAGAGAGAGAAAGATGAGCTCATGAGTTCAAAAAGAACATTGAGCTGATAGATTGGGACCTTCCCCTAACCACTCTGTCCTCTGATCGTCATTTCTTCCCTGGCTGATGAGGAATACATGAGTGTCCCACGTATGTTCGGCTTCTGTATTCATCTCCCATCACACCGCAGTCCCTCCACTCAGGTTGGAAATAGGACAAAGGGCTTTCAGATGTCAACAACCCTTAGCATTAGACTCTGGCCGTTAGTCCTGACTTACAGACACGTCGGATGTTTCCAGCTTGGGTGGAATCCTGGGCTTCTCTTGGTGTCCATCTCACTGGCTCTGGAGGTGGAACTCTGCGTTCAGGCCCCAGCTCTGAAGCTGACACACTAGGTGACCTTGGACAGGTTACTTTTTCCCTTAAGGATTCAGCTTCTCCATCTGTCCAGGGAGAGGCCAATGACTGGTCTTAAAACCTCCAAGATTTAAAGTTCTCTGATCACTACATCACTCAAGTTTCATGGGGAAAGGGCACCTTATTTTAATTCCTGAAGATAAAGTAGGGAGGCTCCAATGAAACAAGCTTCGAAAGTTTAATCATCCAGACCAGAGACCAAGGCTACCTTTCCTATTGATCTGGGTGGGCTTTCTGGAGAGGTGTGCTGTGAGGAGGGAGGGAGAGAGGGGTGAGCACTAGTGGAGCACAGGCGGGGAAGGGCCGGAAAGGCAGGCCTGCCGCTCACCCTTTCGCTCTCTGCCACCCCCCCAAACCACAGCACACATTTTACGTGGGGCAGGATTCAAGCCGCAGCGTGTCTTGCATGGTGGACTCCAGTTTGGGCGTGTGGGTGACGCTGAAAGGCAGTGCCCATGTGTGTCTCTACCACCCAGATACCTTTGAGCAGCTGGCAGAGGTAGACGTCACACCTCCTGTGCACAGGATGCTAGCAGGTACGCACCTCAGACCACCAGCCTGCCCTGGAGCTTTGCTGCCTCTATCCTCAAGGAGTCTTTGGGAAAGCTAAGCCCAGGCTAGGATTGGGCCCCAGCTCTGGTCTGTTTCCCACCCCAGGCTCAGACGCCATCATCCGGCAGCACAAGGCTGCCTGCTTGCGGATCACAGCGCTACTGGTGTGTGAAGAGCTGCTATGGGTCGGCACCAGTGCAGGTGTCGTGCTTACCATGCCCACCTCACCCAGTACCGTCAGCTGCCCACGAGCACCCCTCAGTCCTGCCGGCCTAGGCCAGGGACACACAGGCCACGTCCGCTTCCTGGCTGCAGTCCAACTGCCAGATGGATTCAATTTGCTCTGCCCAACCCCACCACCTCCTCCACATACAGGTGAGTCTGCACAACCTACCCCAACCCAGGGACCTGCCAGAAGTTATAAGAAAGACAAAATGTGTAATACAGAGCTGGAAGTGGCAAACATTATAGAAAGTAGGCTATGGAAAATCCAAAATGAAATCTAGGAGTGTGTGTGTGTGTGTGTGTGCGTTTAAAATTGTACCCAAAGAAGTATCACAAGAGATGAGGAGTGAGCAATAAGCTAAGAAGTCGGATATGACACAGAAAGGTATGTGCAACAGAAAACAAAATAGGATTCAAATCGGTGTATGGGGCAGGAAGTAGAATCAGGAAGTTATGTGCAGAGCAGAAAATAGAACTAACACCAGAAAACAAGACATAAAATGGCATATAGGACAGGAAATGGTTGGTGAGAATGAGAGAGTAAAACATTAGGAAATGATGTACATCAAGTAGGTCAGAATTAGAAAGGTCTTGCTTTGGAAGGATGGGAAGCCATATTCCCCAGAGGAAGTAGCCTGTGAGGAGGAGGAAGTAGTTTTGGTCAGGAACTGTCTGGGGCCAGAGAAGACCTAAACTATGTAACTGATATTCTCTGCCTTTGAAGTAGGACAGAAATATTAAGAAAATATTACATGCACAATAATCAAAAGAGAAAGGAGCCCTGGTGGTGCAATGGTTAAGCACTCCAATGCTAGCTGAAAGGTTAGTGGTTCAAGTCTACCCCGCGGCTTCACAAGAGAACCACCTGGTGATCTGTTTCAGTAACGATTACAGCCAAGAAGACCCTCGGGGGCAGTTCTGTTTTGTCACATCAGGTCACTATGAGGCACCTAACAACAAAAATCAAAATCCCTGAGATGTTATGTAATTCCTGATTAGGAAAGCGCAGATAAGAGCTAAGAAGCGATTTGACTGCCAGGAAGTAGACATTTCTTTCCTTATAATAAGTTCTCAGCTAATAGGAAGTGTGTGTGTTTTCCTTGTTATCTTTTGGGTACTAAGGCTATGATGGCCATCGGCCGCCCACTCAGGCTGATAACCCCTCCCTCTGCCCCCCCAGGTCCCGAGAAGCTGCCATCACTGGAGCACCAGGACTCCCCCCGACACCGAGGCCCCACTTCAGCCAGGCCTAAAATGCTGGTTATCAGTGGCGGTGATGGCTTTGAGGACTTCCGACTCAGCAGTGGGGGTGGCAACAGCAGTGAGACTGTGGGCCGAGACGATAGCACAAACCACCTCCTCCTGTGGAGGGTGTGACCTTGGCTACTGAGGCCCAGGACTCGCCCGCCTGCCTGCCTGCCCTCAGCCTGCTTGCCTCTTCCTAGCCCACACAGACTCCGAGCAGGCGTGTCTGGCCAGGACACACGGGCCTGCATGGGCTTCTTCCCCGCCTGCATGGAAGCATTCCGGAAGGAACACTCTGGCCAGCTGGCTGCTCGGCGCTGCCAGTCATGAGGGTGGTGCCAGTCATGAGGGTGGGGCCCGCAGGCTGCCCAGGACCTTTGTCCCTGGAGCTTCTACCAAAGACACAGCAGGACCTGGACCCATGTGGCTAGGGTGGGGGGCGCCATGTGCAATATTTGGAGGGTTTTGCTGGGGGGGCGGCAGGAAGACTGGGGGACGAAACCCCTTCCCATGTACAGTATTTATGTTCCTTTTTAGATGTGTACTTTCCCAAGCACTTATTTATGCAACCACCTGAGGCAGGAGGTGATTTGAGGAAATGACAGGAAAGGGGAAATACCCCATCCCTGTCCTGGGGGGACACCTAGGACCCTAACAGCCTTCCTGGAGACAATGCCCCCTCCCCTGTACAATTTCATGTGCTACCCGTTTAGGGTACTAAACCACTGCCTTTTACCGTACACTTCCCAAGGCTCTCTGTTTTCCACAGCCAAGGTCTAGGTCCCCTCAGCTACCCAAAGCAAGATGATAATTGTTGGGGAGCAGTGACACCCATCTCGGGGAGGCCTCCCCAGCCTTTGAAGTTCCTAACTTGTCTGCTGTCAGCAGTGCCTTTAGTGGTTTCTTAGTTTGGGAATGCTGATGGGACCTCAGCCATGCCTCTTCCTGGCTTTAGAGATCACTGCTCTCCTTGCAGTGGCCTCCCGGCCCCTAGCCTCCTGCCTTCCTGTGTCTCATGCACTGACTGACACATAGGGTCACCTTAGGGGCAGACTTAGGAGCCCCTTACTCTGACCACTGAATCCTTCTATTCATGGTCTCTGCCATGAGCATCCCCTTCAGGAAGGACCCCCTAGCACTGAGGGACTGGACATGGCCTTCTCAACAGGGAAGGCTCCTGCTTGAGGGCTGCCTCTCCGCCTCCCTGCAGAATGCAGGGAGCCAGCCTGACCCTCAATCCCCTCGCTTTTCCAGCTTACACTCCAAAGGTCTGGTTTCAGATGGGGTTTGTTTTGTTCTGTTGGAATTTGTTTTTGTTTGGGGTGGGTGGGTCCTTGGGATCTTAGATTATGTTTCTCTTGCTACCAAACAGTCATGTATTAACTCTCTTTGGATGATGATGTTTAAAGAGTCAATAAATGGAAACGCCAAATGCCTGCTCCCCATTGGTGGCCTTGGTGGCCTCCAGCTAGCAATCCTCAGGGACCTGCCTCCCTAACCACCGTGTGGGCCTCCTGACACTGACTCACCCAAGGATAAAGGCCTTGGAAGCTCAGAAGAGGGTCAGATGGCAAGGCTGCTACTCTCTTACCCTGGGCGGGTCACCATGCCCCGACTAGGCCACAGTTTCCCATCAGGAAAATAAGGGCTTGTGCCAGTCTTGTACTTTGTAGCCAGGGCTACATGTTAAAATCTCTTAGAGGTTATACATGTAAATACGAAACATAATGTATAAAATATGTATACATTTAAATGCCTTTTCCCAGGGTCCCCTCAAAGCTTTAAGCCAGTGGGCCTGGGACAGGAGATTGGGAATCAAGCTGACATGTGCTGCACATGAAGAGGCAGGGCTCTTCCAGAAAACTCTCTCCAGCAAAGCCTCATGGTCACAAGAAGCCAGCTTAGTCCAGGCTTTGGAGCATAGCTGCAATCCAAGTCCATCTAATTTCTCGTCAAAAGAGGTGTGTTATTAAGTCAGACACACAATGCCAAGCTTCAGCAACTTGGGCCACTCTGCCCCCCATGCTATGGTAACACCCACAGAAATCGAGAGGGTGGCCACAAGGAAAGGCTTCTGCTGAACATGCATTTGGATATTTCCAAATGATTAAGATTTTGTTTTTTTTAAAAAATCATTTCTTAAAGAGGAGTTCATGCTTTGTTGACCAAAACACACATCTCGGGATGCTGTGCCCTTGGTGCTGTAGGACATCCGTGCGTCTTCCAGGTAACCTCATCTTACTTGGAGGATCTTGGAGGGAGGCTTAGATTAAACATGGATATATTGCAGAGTACTGGTATGGTGTCATAGGATAAGCACTCAACCTGAAAGTCGGTTTGAGCCGCAAGATCAGTGGTTCAGATTCACCACCCACTCCTCAGAAACCCTGTACAGGGTCGCTGTGAATCAGAACCAACTCCATGGCACTTAACAACATATTATAGAGTAGAAGACAGCATTCATGTGGAATTTATGATGATTTAAAGTATCAGAGCACAGACTTGGAAGCTGGACAGACCTCGTCTAACATTCCAACTCTGCTATTAGCTAGCTGTGTGACTGGACGACTTGTGTGTTCACTCCATTTCCTCATCTGTTAAGTGGGGCTGTTGCTCAGGTCTTTGGATTTCAAAGAAGAGATTCATTCAGCCCCTGAAATAAAAGGATCATTTATTAATGGAGAAGGGACCTGGCAGTAAGTAGCCATTGGGAATCACAGTGACCCCGACATTGGAACTCTATTGGGACCCCTGACCTCCTTCTCCCTGGAGTCTCCAGTTTCTTGCTGCCTACCAGCCACTATTCACTGTCTCACAACTTCTGCTGCCTCAAAGCCTTTGCCTGTCAACAACAGAATGGCAAACTGGGCAGACATTCAGTTTCAGCAGCAGGTATACATAGCCAAAGCCTCACTGTTGTTATAACTCAAGTGCCTCCATAGGAATGGAGTTAGGCCCATTGTTACTTGGAAGGGCGCATCTCAGAGCATTGGCCAGCTTGTGGCGCTATCTTCAGCCAGGGCTTCAGCCCTGAGCCCATCAGTTCTGGACAGGGAGGTCCTAGAAAGAATTGGGTCATGCCCCAGGCCCAGGGAATTTTCAGGAAAGACTAGTTCCACTAAAGCAGTGGCTCTTAACCTTGGCTGTACATTATAATTACCTGGAGGGCCTATAGGAGCCCTGGTGATGCAGTGATTACAGCACTTAGCTGCCAACCAAATGGTTGGTGGTTAGAACGTATCAGCCACTCAGCAGGATGTGGCAGCCTGCTTCCCGTAAAGTCACTGAGTTGAAATCATCTCAAGACAGTAGGTTTGGCTGGTTTGGGGGAGGAGGGGCAAGCCGCATTTCAAACTAACTAAATCATAAATCTGAGGATGGGACCTCACAGATCTCAGGGTGGGGTGGGTGTGTGTGTTTAAGAAGACTTCATTGAAGTATGCTGTTTGAACAGAAAATTGGACAAATTATTAGTGAGCAGCTTGACAATTCTTCATGAAGTGATTATTTCATGAAATATTTATGTAATTATTCCAGAAGCTCCACTCAGTTTCCTGCGTCTGCCTGGCTTCTGACACCATGAGTTAGTTTTGTCAGTGATTCCAAAGTGCTATCTTTTGGGCCATTCACAACTTTAAAGGGTATGGCCATGGCTGGCCACTGGGGTGGAAGAAATTAGGACTTGGGTTCAGTGGGAAGAGAAGACAACCTGAACAAAGGTAAGGAGATGTGTTGTTACCTGGTGTGGGCGGGAGGGGGGAGGGGATCCCTGGTATAGCCTGAGTTGGAGTAGAAGAGGAAGGGGAAGGAGAAGCCAACTTTTCTTTCTTTTTTTTTTTTTCTGTTTTGTTCTTTGCTGTATCCCCAGGCCTGCTACAGTGCCTAGCATAGTAGATGCTCAATAAATATTTGTTGGATTAAATCTGGAATATTAACATGGGATCTATAAATCAATAACTCCAGCTGTCATTTACTGAGTGCCACAAGCAAGGCGCATTGATCACCTCATTTAATCCTCACAACAGTTCTGGGAGGTCAATGTCATTAGCCTCTTTCAGATGAGAAAATTGAGGTTCAGAGAGGTTACACACCTTCCTCAGAGTTCCCCAGCTACTGGATTCACATCCACATGTCTGCTTATGTCTCTGCTTCCTGGGGTAGCCAGCAGTCAGAAGAACAAGGCCTCAGTGGCCAGAGCCACATCCAGTCATAAGTGGCCTGGCTCATGTTCCTGAAACCTGCTCTGGGCTATGGATCCTCACCCCAGAAGAGTGGGGAGAGTTGGGGACAAAGGCCATCTTCTTCCCAAGAGGATTTTCTATGTAGTCCTTTGGGCTAGGAACAAAGGGTGGGATTTGACTGGGGAAGATGAGGCACAAAGGCAGCACTGAGGCTGGGGGGTAGGGTGGAGGTAGAACTCTGGCAGAAAGGTCTCCTGAAGTCAGACAAGTCAGGGAACGATGCTTAGAACCTCCTAGGGTCCCATGGCACAAATAGAAAAAACCTTGGGCAAGTCTATAGATGCAAGGGCTTAGCAGGGTATGTAGCAAGTGTGCTAATCGCAGGTGTGGTCTGGGGAGGGTGAGCTCAAGCCCCGGTGTGGCCTCCCCTCGCTGTGTGACCCTAGGCAAGTGTCTGCCCCTCTCTGTACCCAGGTGACCTCTGAGAGCCCTTCAGGTGCTTTGCAAGCCTGCCAAACACCAAGTCTCTTCTGTCCTCACAGACCAGTTTGCAGGAAGCGGCAAGGGGATGTGCTATTTTGGGCCCAATTATGGCCAATGAGGAACTCTGCCTGGCAAAGGCATCCCGAGATGGGTCAGGGTACACTGCAGGGCTAAACTGGCAAGGAAGATAGTGAGCAGGCATCAGGGATACACAGGGACAGGCACACAGGTTCTGCCCACCATGCGGGTCTAGGAGGAACACAAGGAAAACTGCATTGAAGTGAGGCGGGGAAAGGGAGCAGATGTGCCCAGTGGCTAGGAAGAAGCTGGTGCCCCCTGCATGGGATCTCAGCAGATACTAGATATTCTCGGCTAAGTTCACTCAGAGAAGTGGAGTCATTTGCCTCAAGTCACACAGCCTGGCAATGGGCGGGCCAGGACTTGACTCCAATCTGTGTGAAACCAAAG